ATACATATGGCTGGCTAAAATTATCGATAATCGGAAATATCGTCGACAGAAAGAATTATCAACAATTATCTACATGAAAACCATGTCAATGATAATATCATACTTAAACTATTAAAGTGACATAAAGTTTTAGCATACACAAGTAATACACAGACATTATATATTTGAAAGGCTACTTCTAAAGCGTGTCCAGGATTGTTATACTTAAACTATTAAGGTGAAAAGAAGTTTTAGCATACACAAATAATACACAGACATTATATCTTTGAAAGGCTACTTCTAAAGCGTGTCCAGGATTGTTATACTTAAACTATTAAGGTGACATAAAGTTTTAGCATACACAAGTAATACACAGACATCATATATTTGAAAGGCTACTTCTAAAGCGTGTCCAGGATTGTTATACTTAAACTATTAAGGTGAAAAGAAGTTTTAGCATACACAAGTAATACACAGACATTATATCTTTGAAAGGCTACTTCTAAAGCGTGTCCAGGATTGTTATACTTAAACTATTCAGGTGACATAAAGTTTTAGCATACACAAGTAATACACAGACATTATATATTTGAAAGGCTACTTCTAAAGCGTGTCCAGGATTGTTATACTTAAACTATTAAGGTGAAAAGAAGTTTTAGCATACACAAGTAATACACAGACATTATATCTTTGAAAGGCTACTTCTAAAGCGTGTCCAGGATTGTTATACTTAAACTATTCAGGTGACATAAAGTTTTAGCATACACAAGTAATACACAGACATTATATATTTGAAAGGCTACTTCTAAAGCGTGTCCAGGATTGTTATACTTAAACTATTAAGGTGAAAAGAAGTTTTAGCATACACAAGTAATACACAGACATTATATCTTTGAAAGGCTACTTCTAAAGCGTGTCCAGGATTGTTATACTTAAACTATTCAGGTGACATAAAGTTTTAGCATACACAAGTAATACACAGACATTATATATTTGAAAGGCTACTTCTAAAGCGTGTCCAGGATTGTTATACTTAAACTATTAAGGTGAAAAGAAGTTTTAGCATACACAAGTAATACACAGACATTATATCTTTGAAAGGCTACTTCTAAAGCGTGTCCAGGATTGTTATACTTAAACTATTAAGGTGACATAAAGTTTTAGCATACACAAGTAATACACAGACATTATATCTTTGAAAGGCTACTTCTAAAGCGTGTCCAGGATTGTTATACTTAAACTATTAAGGTGACATAAGGTTTTAGCATACACAAGTAATACACAGACATTATATATTTGAAAGGCTACTTCTAAAGCGTGTCCAGGATTGTTATACTTAAAGGTCACATGCAACCAAAAAATCAAACATAATTAAAACACAATTATCACTTATTCATGACATATAATATACATTGCTGGTTATGAAAAAACATATAAACAAAATTATAAGCGTACAATCGCAAATCAAAAGTGCAATATTGTGTACTTGGGTTTACTTCCCAAGAAACGAAGCAGCCGGGATACCGAACCCAGTCAGAGCGGGTGGGTGTGCACTCAAGTGTAATGGCTAGTTCATTTGCAGATGCCCTCACGGCTGATTGTGTGTGTATATGTAGAGATGTTGGGTTTTGTAAATACATGCTCATTTTTTGTGTATAACATTTTGCAATCAACAGACATCATAACATGTCATGTGTTCAAGTATCACACCTGCCTGTCTGTGTAATTACATAATGTGACAGAGACCGAACTCGGGCCATAAATCAATGCATTTTGTTTATGGTGTATAGCCTGATTGGTGTTAAGTTCAAATTGCATGTGGTCAGTGATAGCAGCTGTGTATTGAATATTGTCATTAGCAGACAGGCAGGCAGACACACAGGTGTCAATAAAACAAGACATTGAGTTTAGTCTGTGACAACGACATATCTATATCACAGTTGGAAATTCTGTCAACGCTAAATAATGGCATTGCTTTTAAGTATCGAAAGTGACTCGGCAAGAAGAACGTGTGGTGAAAAAGACAAATGAAATTATATAAACAGTTAATTTACTGTCATAACATATAAAAAGCTCGCGCCTGTGAGATATCAACAAAACATTAGAAAAATAGCTCACACCAAAGCCTTCACAGAGTATTCACCGGACAACCGCTTCCAAGCTGCGCGAACCTACTTTACCGCGCACGTGCTATAAGCGCAGCCCAGCTGTTGAAACCCGTATTCCCCAGAAAAGTCTGGGGAAAACTAGTGAAACGTTTGAACTCCGATTTCGCGCGTTTTTTTTCATCGCGTTTTTTCAACTTTATAAGTTGAATTTGCATTTTTGACGATTTGTTTCGGTAAGTCCATACCGAAAGGTATCAGAATCTGCAAAGTTGTGTTTTACGTTGCATGTGACCTTTAAACTATTAAGGTGAAAAGAAGTTTTAGCATACACAAGTAATACACAGACATTATATCTTTGAAAGGCTACTTCTAAAGCGTGTCCAGGATTGTTATACTTAAACTATTCAGGTGACATAAAGTTTTAGCATACACAAGTAATACACAGACATTATATATTTGAAAGGCTACTTCTAAAGCGTGTCCAGGATTGTTTTGATGGCAATCCATGAAGAAATGTATCGCCACTAATGTCAAATATCTCGATTTCTTGGGACTCTTTTTTTTCCATTTTGGTTCAAATTTACTTCTGCATATATTATCGATAATTGATTAATATTCAGATACGATTATCCACCTTATAAGCTTGTCCGACTTTTATTGGTAATTGATTAATACTTAGATATGATTATCCATCTCTATGAGCTGTATAGTTAGCCAGCTCTAATATCCTCCAATGTAAAATGTCACCATGATAAGTCTCAAACTGAAAACAACAAGTGGTAACTTGTGCAGTCACACACCAAAACAATTCCTTCTATTCTGACAGCTTGTGTGCCTCCCAGCCCTGAAGTGTGCTTAAGTATACAGAGCAGCTTGTACTATATTACATGACCTGGGTCCTCGAGTCCCTGTCCCCGCCACTAGGCTCCCATCTCCACTCACAGAGAAGGCAGTGTTTCCCAGTACATAATTACAATAGCACAAACACACATAGACACTGCATTTCTTTCAAACTATATCAGGAATTCACTGGGTCATTTTTCCAGTACAGAGGCTTCTTGGTAATAACTATGGGCTTCAAGCCCAAAGGGGAGTCAGGATAGGAACGTGCCATGCTTCAGTTAATAACTCAGTCCAAGATTTTTACTTATGTGAGGTGGATGAAATTGGGTTTAACGTCATGCTTGAGAATATTTCGCTCATATAACGACGTTTTACTTATGTCATACCACCGAATATACTCAGAAACCAATAATAAATGGGGACTTCAGTTAGGTTGATTACATTCAACCAGCAACACAGTAAACTCTTGGTGAATTACTTAGAAAATAGATGTTTTATATTTAAAATATCATGTAAAATATACTATTCCATTCTACATTTATATATGAGGGAGTGAGTGAGTTTAGTTTTACGCTGTTTTTAGCAATATTCCAGCAATATCACGACGGGAGACACCAGAAATGGCCTTCACACACAGTACCCAGGTCCTTGGTGAGACGATTGAACGCATTAACCACTAGGCTACCCCACCACCACTACATACATATATATATATATATATATATAGGATGCCATATTTTGGATGAAATCAGGTAAAACCCTGATATACAAATGTTTCTATTAATTTTTGTCACAATTTATTGAAAATAACTGAACAGTTTAGATTTAATCAATACAGAAGTCTAATTTGTTTCCATTGTGACTGGTACAAATGAATTGTTGAAATATCCGAAACAGTCACAATCAATTTGACAGAAATTAAATTGACATCCATTAACACTACATCAATATTAACATTATTTACAGAAGATCAACAAAACCTATCAATCCAAAACCTTCTTCAGCTCTCAACACCAACATCAACATCTCCAGTTCATCAAATAAACAACACAATTCACCACCCTAAGTTGAAAGTACAAAGCTACATTGGAACAATAGATGCTATACATATCTCAGGATGAACTGCGTCTTCGACTTGAAAGTAGTCACTGAGAAATACCAATGTTTCGCGATGAACACAAACAGGGGAATATGAGATGCTGTGTATCATAAATGCAACATAAAAGCTATCCACATCCAAAGAGAGGCAGAAAAAAGCTATCATCACCATTGCACTCTATTGCCATAAAGCTTTTAAGGAATCAATGCATAGATCACTGCGATGTGTTACACTGGCATCATCCGATGTTTGTCAGCTAGCAACATAATCAGGGCCCCATCCAATACCTGCTCATCAGGCTTGATGAGTCCATGTACAAAGATACCACATATTGCCAGTAAACAGGGCGACAAACAGAGCCTCAGAAACATACGTTCCTCAGGTAATCTCGGCCTAATTATGCATTGGTTGTGGATTTCAAAATCAGCGAGTTCGTCAGGTTTGATGTTTGTTTGTATATTTGTTGTTTAACGGCGCACTCAACAATATTCCAGCTATAGTGCTGCAGTCTGTTAATATTTGAGTCTGGACAGAAAATCCAGTGATCAACAGCATGAGCATTGATCTATGCAATTGGATACAATGACACCTGTCAACAAGTCAGCAAGCCTGACCACCCGATCATGTTAGTCGCCTCTAACAAGCATGCAATTCTAACCGATCTTCACAGGTATTCGCAGGTTTAAAGCGGCTTTTAGACATGTGAAGGAAAATGGGTTGCAACATAACGTCCAATGAGTCAGTGACTTTCGTTTTACGCTGCTTTTAGCAATATTCCTGCAATATCACGTCAGGGGACACCAGAAATGGGCTTCACATTGTACCCATGTAGGGAATCAAACATGGGTCTTGGGGGAACGAGCTATCCCACCCCCTTATCACCTCCACATACATGTGACCTGATATGTGAGATGTACATTTGTATTCATCTGCATTAACAAGGTGTTTTACAACATGTTGAGGTCACTTACCTGGGGGGCGCAACAGCTCCTACGGTTGATGCTGACAGAGGAACCTTACTTTCCGTTTTTGATTTGAACATTCATCTGCAAAGGAATGAAACTATACATCAGATTTCAACATCATCACCTTTGAATGTTTAGTTACATTCAAATCATAGGCTCTTGACATCATTTGATAACACATGCAGACAATGCCTTATTTACCTTGAAGAAAAGTGTCCTCGTTACTGCTTTCTAAATATATTTCTGCTGATTGTGCATAATTATTTTCATTTTGTCTGATAAGACATTTACTTAGAGAATTCCTGTCATATCAGTTTCACGATTTGCAACAAACTGACCAAACTGTACATATATTCCATGAAAAATATGTCAAACAAGTTCCATCTGAAGCAATTTAACCAAGCTCTCCGTGCTTTTCAAAATCAGCTTTCTTAACAGTTATTCAACCCCATTCAAGATCATTCATTACTAACAACACTCTCAAAATGTTGTCATGTCAAATCATGACGATCAGACAAAAATCACAGCACCACTGTCAAAGCTTTAATGGTCATAAACAAATGCAATACTCATCCAGAAAAAAACACACAAAGATTTTGTACAAACGAATTTCACGTAATGGTTTCATAATTTTGTGACTTGCATTATACCAAAACTGGAGCAAAATGTAATGAAATGCCATGAGATGTCCCTCCTAACAGGCAAACATTTCATTATTCCCAAAATGCAATTCCCTATTCCCCAAATGAGAATGTAATGTAATTCAAGTATAATGGTTAAATCTTTATCCTTGATCCACAATGCAAGCGCACAGGACAGACAAAGTCTGTTACATTTAAGAGTTTCATTCAAATTTTACTGAACTCCTCAAATAACACATGATGAAGTACTACATCCCAGGTCTAACTGTCGCCATGACGGTTCTCATCAACCATCTGACATATTATTGATTCAAACACAATTGCTAATGTTTCCTAAGGCTGCAGACATTAGTCATAGTTCAAACATTTTTCACTTATAAAGGGCATAAATCATACATATCATTATTTGTACATTTTTGGCTCTGAATTTAGACTTTTACGAAAAAATTAGGGTGTACAATGTATGAATCACCGGAATCGTTGCATTCGGATATTTTCATTAACTAAGTCACAAACTCAAATATATTAGCAAATGAATGAGCTCAAGTATTATTTTAAATATAGATGATATTTTGGCTCGTTAAACTTATCAGATTCTTTTGGCTCGTTATCATTAACCACAATGCCTCATGCATCGCTCAGATTTGCATTCCTTCCATTTTTAGAAAAGATTAAAGACTTATGAACATAGAAACAGTCACAGGGACAATTCAACATGGACATTTGTGCAGGTGAGCTACGACACTGGGTATGTGGCCCCTAATCCGCATCGGCCATTCACCTACACCAAATATTTTAGTCATTGCTATATTGTTAGCAATATACGATATTGAAAACACATCATTAAGATAAGCCATGTTTTAACACCTCAAAAAAGAAAGGATGTTTTGTTAATATGATTCATGATTGCAAAAAAACTCGAACAATGAAACTTTATATTCTTTGTTAAGAGATTTCACTACATTTCAGAAGTCTTAATGAAGTCATAACAATTGTGTGAGTCAGGTTTCTAAGATTGAAATGAACAGTATTTAAGTCAATGAGTTATGTTTTATGATGCTCTCAGCAATATTCCAGATGGGCTTCACATATCGTCTCCATGTGGGGAATTGAACCTAGGTGACCAGCGGATACTTTAACCACTAATCAACACCCCTGCCCTCAGTATTAAAGTGCAATAATGTCACCTTGATGTTGGAATGAGTGAGTGAGTTTAGTTTTTCGCCGTTTTTGGCAATATTTCAGCAATATCAAGATGGGAGACACCAGAAATGGGCTTCACGAAAATTACCATTCTGAATACATGAGGTGCAGACAACCAAGAAACGTAACCGTGATTTTGGTGCGCCCAAAGGAGGCAACTCTGCAAAGCAAATTGGCACAATTAAATGACCTCTAACATCTGTGCCCCTTGACAAACCTCCCGGACGAAATTCTATCCACAAGACCAAGGAAGTGTACCCCTTCGAAGAATCTTATTAACCTGGGATTTGAACCCAGGATAACCAGATCCTGACGCAATTATAGGACATAACTCTGCAGTTTCTAAGACCGGCATCATGCATCTCCAAGATCTAGTATGAAGTGCTAATCCATGGGCAATATTCCACTTTACATAACTATCATCCAGTCTCATATAAGGCTTAAGACCCAATAGCAATATTCTCCTTATCATTAATAAATCACATCAGGAGAAAGGCTTTGATTTCATCTCCTTTCAAAATGTCCTACAGCTTTAGTGCTTATTAAAAACATCTTGTGTTGTATGTGAACACCCTTCTTTGATAAATATTTCTCCATAAATACGGGGTTTTTTTAATTATATCCATTTGAACTGTTGGCCTGAGTAACTCTGAATTGTGTCACTTTCTCCTGTCATCATTTTACTGGGGTAAAAAAGAAAATTCTTAGTAGGTCGAATTTATTATTTACAGACCATTTTTTCCATCCTACATCATTACAGTGCATTCTTAAGGTTCTGAGAACACCCCACATCTTTGAAGTGATTGACAATTGAAAAATATAATAATTACATGTTTTAAGGGAAACATTTCAAAATCAGGATTCAGATTTACTGATAGCAGTTATCAACCGTGTACGGAAAGAAAGTCAAGAGTGAACTCGTGTCTATATACCATGTTTAATCAAGGTGGAGAGCTTTTACAATGTTGACACTCTAGAGGACCAATAGATACAAATTTCATTATCTTCCTTTCATTAGATCTACACCCCGTAGCTTCAGGTAAATTTTAAACTTTCGTCACAAATGAAAACATTTTTAAAAAATGAAACTTAAACTCCTATAATACACAATCTAATTCTCTGCAATTCTGGAAAATGTGAACTTAACACCTTGTATCCAAGTAACTTAAAGTCGATTTTGGCACAAACAAAACTTGTTTGCAAAATATATAAATTCAACTACAACGAAACACAAACCTAGTTCTCTGCAATTGTTCTGACAAGCAGCTTGTCAAATCTACATCTTGTACCAATATAATCTAAACCTTTACATCGACACAAATACAATCTGATTAATAAAACAGGAAAATTCAGGAATGACAATTCACAATGACAAACACAAATAATGCACAGCAGTTGTTCAGACAACGAGCTTTTCAAGTATCATGGCAATTTAAACCTCTACATTGGCACAAACAAAACCTGTTTCCAAAACCGGAAAATTCAGCTCTCACAATACACAATGATACAAACATAATTCTCTGCAGTTGTTCTGACAAGCAGCGAGGAAAATGCTACATGTATAAGCAGAGCTGAAATCAGCACACACAGAATACAGCGAATCTCTTCCCTCCATCTTACTGCATATTTGATGTTACCCTTGGAAGAAAAAGGAAAAAGGACAACCCAAGAGACGTGGACAAGCAGAGAGAAGTGACTTGGTACTTAGCCTGCTATGATAACTAGAGGTAGAAGATCACAATGAAAGGGACTTCCACTATATTGATTTGCCAATAACATGACACGCGTTTCGTACCAGCTCTGCAAATGGAGGTACGTAAATCTGTAGCTAAACAGCCACATTTTCATTCCGTTCAATATCGGAGAAAACACAGCACTGGCAACCTGGCATCAAAAGAAATAATGCTTTGTAGGATTCATCAACATTGCCGCGGTGTCATGGACGGCAAACGTTGCATGATGGGAACAAGTGCATGCATCATTTGGGCCAAGTTAGTCGCAACATATGCAAAGGGAGATTGGGAGTTATGAAAAGGCAGATTTGATGACAGCTCTCATCAATGTTTAATGTCATATTTGAGGAAAAATCAGGGTTATTACAAGGCTCGGGTTGATCAATATGATTAGTGAGGTAATTGCGTTCCAGTAATCTAACAATTCAAAGACAAGGAACTTTGATAAAAAAAATCCTTTTAACAGTAAATCGAGAAAGAAAAATAATTATCAATAAAATTTCCAATCTGTAGGAACAGAAATTGATATAATACAGACATGAGTCCCTGAATCAGTGAAGAACATGCTTCGTTCTAAGAAACAGCTGACTTGAACACAGCTTGGAGCAATGGATAATAAGTAACTAAATCATTTAATATACTAGTACCCACATTTCTGGCAATTATGGGGATAATCTCAGACAAACAAATGCCCTACATTAGAAAAAGATGTGAGAGAACTTGTGAGGTCCCAAAACATTTGAGTCTTCAGCGGTACACAATTTTGGAGAGGGTCGTGGACAAATTTATGGTTTGTACTAAACTAGAGAGTGTTTTCGTATTTTTGTCATTTCGGGGAGCGTCATGAACAAATGGACAAGGACATGGTGAGCGTCATCCCAAAATAGGTCAAGCATTAGGGGAGGGTCATTATTTTCAGTACATTAGTGCATGAAAAGAGTCAGATCCACCCACCACTGTAATAAATGACTCGTTCCTTAAAACATGCTGTCATGATGGAAGTTCCAATTCTGACTTTAATGAAATATGTCAATATGTACAACCAGAAAACAACTCGTTTTGTCATCTGTGACAAGAAATATCATGAAATGTCACTTTAACATTGATTTTCCTTCCTGTACAAAGTTGTCTAAAAAATCAAAGAATCAATGCTGTTTTTGAGAAACCCCATATTCATAATGCAAAATAGAATTTACCGAGTCTCCTTTGGTACTCATATTTCTTGAAGAATTATATACATGTTCTCTGCCCATGACATTAAAATGGATTTTCAACAACAAATGCTTGCTGTTAGGAGCGACAACCAAGATCCATGTATCCATGATAGTATCCATGTCCTTCCATCCTAAATGTATAGATCAGTACTTATGTCAGTCACTGGATGGTTTGGTTCAGACTCTTTACAGAATGGCATCATACAGCTGGAATATTGCCGAGTACAGCATTAACAACAAAATATAGTGAGTGAGTGAGTTGGGTTTTACGCCCCTTTTAGCAATATTCC